AAATGTTAGGTGTGTCTACAAGGTTCCAGAGTGCGATGTGCTTCAGGATGAGTTGAGCCAAAATATCACCTTCCATCCTACCTTCACCCTAGCCTAACATTACAAACCTAATGAAGTCCTACTGATCCTTGGCGGTGTGTGGATATAAATTAGTGGAGAGAGTTTTGAAAAGCAAGCTTATGGGGTTGGAACTTGTAATGAGAAGCACTTAATGTAGAGCACATGCGCCTGATCCCAACTAGTTTGACATTGATGATTTGGCACTTGGTTGTTCACACACACACAAGAAAGGTCCAAGCAGAGAAGAAAAAATCTCTTGAATTTAGGATCAGCACTTGACTGGAAATCATGTTCCTCTTTAAGCTGTGCTTCTAACCTATCTAGTGAGGGCAAATCTCTTGAGAATTCATCCACAAAGTTTGCATTTATTTTTCTGTTTTAGCTCATTCTTCTTGTCTTATTGTCATTTTTGTTTTGCTCGAGGACAAGCAACGTTCTAAGTTTGGGGGTGTGACAACTCTAAGAAATTAGAGTTATCCAATGGTTTTATAGCTCAAAAGTTGCGTGACCAAGAGTGATTTTTTCTAGTTTCTTATGTGTTTTAATTTAGATTTTTACAGTTTACACTTACTATGGCTTAGCTCCGTACTTGTGCTCTTCTTGAAGTAAAATTTGATGATTTTGAATTAAAAAGAGGTAGAAAATTGACTAAGACTATGTGCGCGCTTTGCAGGAAATTTTTGGACTAAATACTGTGGCATTCTAGCAACATTGGCATATGGCTGACGTTAGCGCACTACCTGGAGAAAGCAGACAAAAAGGAATTCGTGTGAGGTGGCTAAGCAGGTGTCATTGTGGTCCACTATGCACATCATCAAGTGACACCTCAGCCCTTGTGTTGCCCTAGAAGGGAATGTTTTCTTAAGACAAAGGGGTAGCTGCCAGGAAAAGAAGAGGAGAGAGAAACAAGGCTAAAATATAGAAAAATAGGACAGAGAGTATTTTCTTTACAGAGAACAGACAGAGCATCTCTCTCCAGAAAACACACAGTGCATTACCCAGAGAGGAAAAAGCTTAGTACGAGAGCTGAGGAAGAAAGGAAATACAGAGAGTACCCAGCCCCAGAAACAGATTCAGAAATGTGAGAAGAAGGGAATAAGGCAGGAGGTTGAAGGACGTTTTGACCGAACAAAGAGGAATCCAAGATCCAGCTGAAATTCATTCTTCTTCTGTTAGCTTAACTCTCTTTTGTTATTTAGCTACTAATTTAGCTATGGATTATGTTGGAGCTTTGAATCTTGTAAATCTCGTTATGAACTAATTTGTTTTAGCTAGGTTTGCTAATGGAACCAAGATTGTAAGAATGACAATTTGTTTCTGAGATGCTATTAAATTACTATTCATGTTCGTTCATGTGAGCTAATGCCTATTTCTATTCTTGACTGGCCATCAATTTTAGGATACAAGATTAAGATTAATACTGGAAGGGTTAGTTTTAATCAAATTTAGCATGAATGATTCTTGTTCAATAACCTTGCTTAGTTGTTGATTAGTGGATGGTATAGGAATATATTATTCACCTTGCATAACTTAAAGAAACCTGAGCTTAAATCTGCATTCCGAGAGCTAGATTCACATAAGAATATGCTGAAAATGGTTTAAGGAACCTTAGTCATAATTAATTCAGAAAAACTTTATGCAATAGAAGAGTTTCTGTTAACAAGGATAGTAAATGTTGCAGCATTTTCGGTAACATTTTAGTCAGACTTGCAATTGAGGGGAAGTTAGTAGACCTAGCTCATTTTCACCACTGAATTACAGCCCATCATTACGTTCTTGTTATTGTTAGCCACTTAGATCGCATTTAGTTTGCATTCATTTTATTTACATCATTTTAGTGAAGTTGTGCCACATTCATTCATTACTTGTTTTGTTGATTATATAACTTCCAACACGTATTTTTGGTGATTCAATCATCGTGGGATCGACACTTTTATTCACTCTTTATTACTTGTTTGCAACACGTGCACTTGCGAGCATAAAAACCACGCAACATTTTCTAACTAAATTTCGGAGGAGTTTCGCCTAATTTTTTAGTTTATCGAGCTAACCATAGCTCGTTTTATCCGTTATTTTAACTTTTCAACCATATATCCCAACCTTTCTCATTCTTTTTTATCATCATAAACACCTTAAGTTCTAGGGTTTCATCACAGTTTTCACAAGAATTTTCTATCAATAAAAACGCTAAACACAAAACCCTATAACTGAAAATTTATCCTTTAGACATTAGGTTTTTTAGTACCATTAATAACCATAAGCAAATCATCATCCTTAGCAAAAATATTTTCATGTTCTCTACTGTTCATGGACGTGCATCCATGGTGAAAAATGAGGAGAAAAATTGAAATTTTACCTTAGAAGAGTGAAGAGCAAGCTCTGGTGACTCTAATCAATGATAGTTTTCTGTCGATTTCGATTTGAACTTATTTTTCTCACTTTGGAGAATTATTTTTCCTCTCTCTCTTGGCTGAATGTTCTCTGGTTCGTTTGCATGAAAAATGAACATTTTGGCTGTATTTTTTCCTTTTAAAAACGTTCACAAAAAGCATGAGGGACCTAAGTGTAATTTTGACATTTTCTAGGTTTTTTTTTTTTACAAAAACATCAAAACTTGCTTTCTCCCTAAGTCTTGGCCGGCCATCTTCCCTTTTCCATGTGTCATAATCTCAACCCTCCATCCATTAATCACCTTAATTCTCAACCATTCATCTTTAATAACTATCTTATTGCGGTTCAATTTAATTCTTATCTAGTGCGCATTTTACCTGCGTTTTTTGAGCAGTTGGTCAACTTGGTCAACTTTACTCAACCTCAACTAACTTTTTAAGAGTCACCTATTGGTCGACTCTTGGTCAACAAATTTTGACTCGGTCAACCCTAAACGGTCAAAAACCTTAACTTTCTCGGTTCAGCCTTCCGAACCCCTTTTTTGTCCATTTTTCATTCTGATGGTTTCTAAAACCCTAGAATTGATGTTTTTCAATTCTTTTTCATTTATTAAACTTAATATTCATGTGTTTATCATCTTGTGATAATAACACAGTGTTCCGTGCCTCTTTCTTGATTACAGTCTGAAATTTAATAACTGTATTATTGTTCAAAAATTTTTAACTTTTAACTTATACTTTGCTATTCAGTATTAATATCAACAAATACTTATCATAAAAGTATTCATATTTATAATACAGAGAATTCTCAAAAATTTCATCTTATACAATACTTTCTTCGACTTCCTGGTCATGACACTATATGAGTATAGTCGTAGAGGAAATTATTATGTATAAATCTAAAAATCCGTTTGCATATGCGTGCAAAGATTTACGTAACTCGTTAAGGAAAGGTCCCTTAAAAAGAAGTAACAAAGAAAGGTCCTTCTGAATCATTATTCATTACCCAAAAATGAAAAATGAAAAAGAAAAAGGATTACACATTATTCACATAATCATAGCATGAATCACGTGATAAACAAATGACATCATTTTAAGAAAACCCTACTTTTTTCCCCTTATGATGTTATGGCAACCCAAAAATGAAAAATGAAAAAGAAAAAGGATTACACATTATTCACATAATCATAGCATGAATCACGTGATAAACAAATGACATCATTTTAAGAAAACCCTACTTTTTTCCCCTTATGATGTTATGGCAACCCAAAAATGAAAAATGAAAAAGAAAAAGGATTACACATTATTCACATAATCATAGCATGAATCACGTGATAAACAAATGACATCATTTTAAGAAAACCCTACTTTTTTCCCCTTATGATGTTATGCCATTTTTAAATTAATAATAAAAAATAATAATAACGATCCTAGTTCATCAACCTCTTTCATTCATTTAAAATCAAATGAAGAGGAACTCATAATTCTCACAACTACGAGAGGATACAAACCAAAACGTGGAGATTCTAGGGGGGTCATGCTTCCTAAATTTCTCCAATATTATTAAGTACATAACGAGAAACACATGGGCCACCGCATCTCAAGCCCTCTTGCATTAAAGTGGAGATACTTTACATTACATGGGAAAACACTTACCATTGAAACTTCAAATTTGGCCGTACACGTGGCAGGCTATTTTGTGGTCATGAACAATTTATTCTCATAGATCAAAGTGCATGAACACTAACAAGAAGCATGGTTGGGCTAGAGGACCCCATAACCAGTTCACCATTTTCATATTTTCCAAATTACAACTAGCCTCTTTCTCACACTTGGTTTTTCTTTACCTCATGCATCGGAGGAATTATTCAATACACAAAGTGTATCATGTCATATTGTTTATGTGGTACACCCGTCTAATAAAATTATAAGATCAACATTAATTGAATTGACCACAAAAGCGCGCGGTTTGATCCGGTGATAATATTGGAAAATTTCATATATATTTATTTATCTTATAAGATAAATAAATCAAATACCGTCTTGTTGATTTACTTTTCTTCCACACCGAAACGTCATTTGTTCTCTCATATTTCGCTCCTTGTGTATTCAAACCACATACAATTTTGTTTGGCGTCTCAAGAACTTATTGATTTTCAATATATGATATAAGAATATTTATTAGATTTATTAGATTTATTTGTAAACAAATTTCATAGACTTCTAACACGAAAACGATATTCTTGACATACAAAAAGATATGCTGTTTTTACTCCAATAAAATGACACACACTTTTACCTTTCAGTGTATCTCATTTACGGACAGTAAAACGACATGTTGTATCTTTGTTGTTGTTTAATATTTGAAACGACATGAATTTGAGTATAATTCTTCTGTCGTTCAAGAAGGGCGCGCAGATAGCAACCACAATCCGTCGTCGTTACCCCGTTAGCACTTTTGAAAAGCCAGGAGTTTCGTTGTCGTTCATTTCCTGCTGTCGTTTGCCACTTAACATAATAAAACAGCGGCCCAAATAAAAGCAATCTCGTCGTAGAACCAGACTCTTGAGAGTACTCTCTGAGAAGAAGTGCTATATCCAGAACCGCATAAACCTCATCTTCATCGATCATCATCCATTCCTCAAACTCACTGCGACGTTCTCTCTCTGTCCAACAGAAAAATGGCGCTCAATCTTACCAACTCCTTCCTCCAAAGCAGACTCTGTCCTCCATCTCTATCCTCCAAGAAGGTAAAGATACCTAATTATTCCCAAACTTCGACTAAATTCCGTCTTCTTCTTCTTCTTCATTTTCTTACCGTTTCTTTGTTTCCCTTGGAATTTCTGTCTTTCCAGGTTCCAGGACCGAGGAATTGCCGGCCTTCGGTGGTGACGTGCAGGAAGAAGGACATCCACCCGGAGTTCTACGAGGACGCGAAGGTGTACTGCAACGGAGAGCTGGTGATGACCACTGGTGGGACCCAGAAGGAGTACGTCGTCGATGTCTGGTCGGGAAACCACCCCTTCTACCTCGGAAACCGCTCCGGCGTCCTGGTCGACGCCGACCAGGTCGAGAAGTTCCGGAAGAAGTTCGGTGAGCTTTCCCAGATTATGGAGATTCCGGTCCTCAAGGGAGAGATTGTGCTTCCGCCCAAGCGCAAGGGCACTGGCAAGGGCAAGAAGAAGTAGATAGAGCTTCCCATTCTTATACTTCGCCAGGTAACCAGAAGTTTTCGAGAAAAAGATAAAAGTTGGGAGTTTTCTGGGTTTTTGTGGCTTTGTGCTGTTGATTTGTCGGCACACGTTTATTTAAGCTATAAGGAGTATGCCTATCATCTGATTGTTAATATGCCTCAATTGACATAGATTGTAGAGTTGCTTAACTTGGGGAAAGGAAGGCAATAGAATTTGATGAGTAATTTCTATGTGGAATGAAATCGATTCTTTTGTTCAATTTAGGTGGCTTGATATCTGTTACTTGAAGTGAAAATTTTATTGATGAATATGCTTGTTTCAGAATTCCATTCTTAAGGAGATTTAGCCTTTTTAACAACTTATGGCAAGTCGAAATAATTCATTTTACCCAGTCTCCAAAATCAGGGCAGTAGTAGAAAAGCTGTAGAAGTTTCATTACTTTTCATCTTTTACAATCTGCTATAGAATTCAAACTGGTGACATGACATGGTTGCAAGTGAGAATACCATGGTAATACGGTAGACACTAAGCAAGCACACTGTAGTAGTAGACTAGCAGTAGCTTTTATTTAGATATTATAACATAGATTGGATATCAAGTTGCTATCAACATTATTGATAGCTGATTAACATTTGAAGTAGCAGAAGCACGCAAACCCTGGAAATTGTGACAAGCTCCATGTGAAGCCTTCTCCCAGTTCCTGCATTGGCGATTGCAATGGCCAGAATTCGTACAGAGTCCCGACCATGTTTTACTCTGCCTCTGACATAGTTTTCCTTCCACCATTGTCATTTCTGCAATTAATTAACAACCATAAGAATTTTCACAGTTAGAGTCGATAAACAGTGTGGCTAAGAATTTGATTTTCAGATAATATCAGGCAAACTTAGATACATTCATTAAGCGAGAAGGCAAGAACTACGTTAAGGAAATAGAAGAAATAAGAACAAGAATCTTTACTGCATACCAGGGGAAATAAGAAGGGAAAAGAGAAAGAGAAGGAGAAGGCCATTGAACAGTGGAAGGCTTCGTAGCTTAGCCATCTTTGCTTATTTCCTTCTCTACCTGAAAGAGAAGATGTGAGTGCTTCTTTTTTTGGTTTGATGCTATTTATAAAGTGATTTATCCATAGCCTTCTTTGTCGCTCATACAAGATAATGGGATAGTTTCCTTTTGCGGAGTGTGAATGCGAGCTGAAATGGTATTAGTTGTCAGCCTCTTAGTTGAATACTTTGAATTCAAATCTTCTTCATAATGATGCTTTGGCAGTTTATACTGTCCATGGACTTCCATTTATAACTTGTTGAGAAGATGAGAAACGACAAATTCAAGCTTCCACTGGGTCAGCGGAAGCAAAAGTTTTGGATAACGTTATCTGCTATCTTACTTCTTTGTTAGGTTGGCCCTTTTGAATATCAAATGGGTTCTTTAGGTTTCAATCTTAAACGGATTCATGCAACGTAAGTAGATCAAGCGCCTTCTTCCTCTGTCTTTTTATCTATTTATATCCATATAAAGTCGGTGTTTGTAGGCAATTAATTGGCTGCCATGAAGAACTAAACCAGCGCCTTCTTCCTTTGTTTTTGTTTGCTATTTGTGTTTAAAGGGAAATCCAACTTATTTTAGCTCCTTAACGTGAATGTCAAACAGGAGCTAAATTATAGAGCAAATAGATCCCAGGGGTCCACTTCCGTTAGCCTGTCTCTCAAGCTGGCAAAAAGTGGTCCTTTTGACTTTGAGAATAACTACATGCATTTCCTAACTTGGGAACTTTTTGGTCTCTCTCTTGGGGCTCAATGGATTTAATTCCATTTGTTAAGGCGTTTGTCAAAGTTTGTTTGTCCATTCTTTTTCAGCTCAGAGACCAATGAGACAGCACTAATGAGAAATTCTTGTAGTGGAATTCAAACTCGAAGTGTTGGAATCTATAATTCACCCACGTGAGGCATGAATCATTGTCCTCTCAAAGTTTATCTTTAACCATGCGAAATGTAGAGAGTCCCTGGGAAACCATTTGGCTGAAGCTTGCAGTGTTTGATTCCACACGTCCTAGTTTTTAAACCCCATGACCTCTACGATCAGAATAGGTTTTAGCATCCCAATAAAAAGCCATATTGTTTTGACTTTTTGCTTCAAACTCAACATCCTTGAAGAATGGCAGGTTGCGGGTGGCGGATGAGTTAGGGTGGATTTAGTTCGCTGATTTGAGTTTTTAATTCGAGTTGAGATGTGACTTTATGTGAGAGCTTTTTACTGTAGTAAAAAAGTTAAATATGACTGTTTTTTAGAGCTTTTTATTATAGCAAAATTTGAATTTTAAACTCGAATCGGTAAAATGAACGGGGCCTTAATAAACACAGTTCAGTCTACTGAAGAAAATAAATCAAAGTTAAACACTTTTCCAAGAATTTTATGTTTATGCTACCAATTTTACTTGGTTTCTTAGAACCCTTTGCTGGGAAATTTTGTGCCCCTCCGAAAAATAATAATACACTCTGAAAAGCTAAAGTAATAAATTTTACCTGATATTATGGGCTTGGCAAATTTTTTTAAATTTAACTCGACAGTTCTCTGATATTGTCTATGTTTTGACTTTTTAAAATGGGAATGAAATACCATTTCTGTGTAGATTACAATAACCAATTTCTTAGCTTTTCTCATTATGTTTTGTTACTTCTTTTTGGTAATTAATTTGCATCCTTGTTGAACACAGATTTTTTCTGCACATTTAAATTTGTATTAAATTGCTACCCCATCTGTTCTTTATTTTGAACTTACCTACTCAACATATCTGTTCTTCAAAATTGGAATACAATCTCATTAATACTAAAAGGATAAATTTCAAGCTCCCGAATTTTATACCATGTTTTAATTTGCTCATGGTTCATTTCGTTCCTTGGATTATGTACTCTAGTTTAAATTGCCCACTCACATTTTTATACAACTAACAAAACGATAATGTAACACTAATTATACTTTTATAAATGCCTCTTAAAGTATTGATTTTAAATCAATTTGTTCTTTAAAATTTTATTTTGTGTCAACTTGTCTCCTGATATTTTAAAATATCATGTGGTAAATTAACACAAAATCAATAATTTAATAGGCGTTTATTAAATAACATTAGTTATGGGAATGTTTGAACTACTTTTCCTTTATAAAATCAGGGGCATATTGAAATCTTTTTTATGGCGGTTACTTGTCAGAATACCTTCGGTGATCATCTAGGATACAGCATGAGATCTTTTTTTTCTTTTTTACTGTTCTATTCTTTTTTCTTTTTTTTTTCCTATTGTCGCGGTTTTTTTTTTTTGTATTTATGTTCCGGAGACAAGGATGGACGTTGTGTTACTGGTGGTTATCAGCTGGTACATGGCTAGATATCGGTTGGTATCCCAACCGAAAACCGATATCAATATGAATACTGATATTTGCTGATTGGTAATCGGCTTGTATCACAGTGGATACTAAATGGTATCTTAACTCTTAAGAGTATATTTGGTATTTCAAAATATAGTGCGATGACATTACATGATAATCTCAACAATTTTTTTTGTTGTTGACAAAATTACTAAATTTATCTTTAAAAGTGTATGAGTTTTAATTTTGACCCGTTAATCTTGATTAATATTCTTTTAACTAATATAGTTATTTAATTAAAAGGATATTAATAAAAAGTAATTAGTAAAAATTTAGACTATGCATCTATATGTCTTCTTTTCTCTCTTTTTTTTTTTTTGGACATAGGTCAATTCAAGCCCTAGAATTGTGGTACTTATCTATAAAGCCCGGAACATGAGAGAATTATTGAACTAAAAGTATAGAGTTTTAATTTTTATCTCTTATTTTTATTAATACTTTTTAACTAAAATAGTTATTGAGTTATTGGCATAAATGGTCTTTAACTTATTTAGTAAGTAATAATTTGATCTCTATTTTTTTTTTGTTAAATCGATCTTCAATCTTTTAAAATATGTATAATTTGGTCTTTTCCGTCAAGATCCGTCTAAAAACTAAAAAAAAAAAAAAAAAAAAAAAAAAAAAAAAAAGATACTTGCCACGTGACCTATTAAATTAGGGTATATGTGTAAAAACGCATCATTTCTTTTGATTTTCTCAAGATCATCCGAATCCTTCCTTATCTCCACTCCCTCTCCTTCAACTGTCAACCAACTCCCCACCAAACGGGGCCTTAAGCCAGACCAGAAAACACAGCAGTTATTCACCAAAACTTTGATTTTTTATTTCACCGTCGTTTTGAAGGAAAGATGTTAATTTTTCTGAATCTTAAACAAAACATATTACACTTAACTTGCACTTCACGACAATGAGTTGAAAACCTCTCATCTGATATAATCCTTTGCAAGAAAATGGGAGAAACAACGGATAACCTTTTTCTCCATTGTTCAAATTCATGCTACATCTAGTCGCTTTTATTGAAAGAGCTGGGCTTTTCATGGGTTACGCCTAGGGGTTGCAGGGATTTACTCTAGTTCTCTCTTCCCCTTAGCTTTAGCCCTAAGGGTAAAATTTTGTGGAAATTTGCCTCATTAGCCATCTTTTGGGGTATTTGGGCGGAAAGGAATCGTCGGATTTTTAACGATGTAGAGGAGGATTAAATTGTTTTGTGGGATAAAGTCAAATTTTGGGTTTCCTTGTGGGTGTCCGTGATAAACAGTTTGGTAATCGGAGCTTATCGGATTTATTTTGGAGTTGGGCTCCTTATTTATAGCCTAACTTCTCTTAGGCTTTGTTTTGGTTGTTAAGAAAATCTCATCCTCTCTTCGTACTTCTCCTTTTTTATCTTTAATTTAAATTGTGTAATAAAAAATATTATAATAAAAAATTTTAATGTAAATATTTAAAAAAAATATTATAATAATAAAATTTGAGTTGCGAATAAATGTCTACAATTTTTGAACGCAAAAATTGCACTTTAATTTGCTTCTGTAGCCCGAAAGGAGTGGACCATATTTTGACAGGTGGTGAAAATGCGAATTATTTACAGAGCCTAAAGTTCAGTGTCAGAAATGATTGGACTATCACAAACAGAGAAACGGAATCTCCGACATCAAATTATAAAATATTACTAAAAGGAGGTAGGAAAGTTACTTAGGTAATTTCGGCCACGTTGCACAAAATATAGAAAAAAGGTCACAGATTGCGGCAGAATTATTGGTGGGTCGTTTTTAACTTTTAGAGTCGTAGCAATGGGTGATAAAACAAGCTAAAGATGTCCTGTGCATGGATTTATCGAGAAAGAAAAAGGCTGTGAATGGCCTAATCTTAGCGAGTAAGAATCGATGTAGATTTTTTGCTTGTTCATCATCTCTGTAACAATAAAGTTTGGTTTATATTCCAATTTAATTGAATTTAAGAAAAAAAATAAGAGTGACGAGTAGTTTGACATTAACTAATTTTAGTTAAATTTTTATAGTTTTTTTTTTTTGTCCTTTAAAAAAAGGGTTTTGGCATAACTTTTTGCATGAAAAACTCCTGATGAATCATGAGAGTCTCCGTTGGCTTATCCACTTGCAACATTTGCTACTCAAGACAATTAAGAGAATCAGAGAAAAAGAGTGAGATATCTATCATCCACCTGTCCAGTTTTTTCTTTTTCTTTTTTCTTTTTATTTTTTTAAATTAAAATCACAATTTGAGTACACAATTTCTCTCCTTTATTCACATGGTCACGTCGTCTTCTTCCTTTGCAATGTCCCAATAATGACGCATGCCATGTTATATAAATATGGCATAACCATAATACAGTCTAACCTATAGATACTCCGTATTTTAAAAAAGGATTATTAAAGGATTACTGGATTAGAACAGAAAGCGAAAACTATCTAACATAATCTTTTGAGAAAGGGAAGTTAGTCAAAACAGTGATGTATGGGTCATTAAACAAGTATATTGGCCAGATACGAAGTAGATAACCCGAATGGTATAATTTAGATCTCATTTTTGGACCTATATATATATATATATATATATATTTCTTTTCCGATCACTTCTGTTTTCTACATGAAAGAAGGTAACGTGG